GGACGGACAGACAGACATCCGGATTTCAACTCTACTCGTCACCCTGATCACTTTGGTATATATAACCCTATATCTGACTCTTTTAGTTTTAGGACTTGCAAACAACCGTTATGTGAACAAAACTATAATACTCTCCTTAGCAACTTTGTTGCGAGAGTATAAAAACACCAGACAAACAGCAAATTATTATATGAACCGGTGTCAAAATTGGACAATGAGTATGGCACCGCCCTATTTTAAGTGAAATCCCATATCCTGGGACCTGCTCGACCGACTTCAACCAAATTCCAGACGTTCCTATTGGTGTGGTGTAGTGAAGGACCGACCGGTCGATTGCCGTATATGGTGCCAACAAGTTTCTTTGCCTTTTCCTCATGTGCTGCCGGCTAGCGATTTCAGGCTTTGTTGCAGCTCTGTAGTTTGGCAATAACGTGGTCGTGTAAGAAGCACAAACTGTCGAATGTAACACCTAAAATCTTAAGATTATTGACAGTCGGCCAGTCGGACGCCATCGAGTGCAATATTAAGTTCAAGTATGTACTTCGTTTGTTCGGTCACTTCGTCCTGTTAGTGAATATGGTCGCTGTGGATTTAGTGGGGGAGAGTGTTAGGTTCCGTGCATCGAGGAAGCGAGAATAGTCGGACTTGCCATCGATTCCGATTGGAGCCTCTAGTACAAGCCTATGAACATTTATACTTACACTACTTTCTTAACAGTTTTAGAATACTTGTGTTACAAAATCGGAAAAGAAGGAAAAAAAAAATTATTTGAAAAAAAAATTTTATTTGAATTTTTTTCTTTGCAGAACAAAACAATGATCGATAACGGAACGCCCATCACCGAAAATATCCATCAAAAGCCCAATAAGCCGCTGTTGCCGCTTTGGGATGAATTTAGGAATCGCATAAAGAATTACAAAGAATTTCTCAAGCACATGGCCAATTGCGTGTTGTATTTGTTGTATGACGTGCCAATACCTATGGAGGTGCGTGAGCGAAACTAAACGTTCCCAGCCGCAGATGTCTTTCTCGCAACTATTGTAAACTTAGTATTTAGTATTTAACGAAAACTCCTAGCATTTTAAAGTGAAATGTTCGAAATCGTGTGATAAATGGATAATAACGTTATTAAATTGTATACAGATTTTAAATAAACTTTATTACAGAATAAAAATACATTTAGAACATTGTTGTTGCTTTCTTAACTGTACATTATTTATTTGCATATTTCACTATTCACAATACAGCTGTGTGTGTGTATGTGTGTGTGTGTGTCTGTGTGATGGTTACCATTTTCAACAAATATGTATTTATATAAACCGTTATGTATCACAACTATGCTCACTAGTGTCTGTCTGTCTGTCTGTTAGCAACTGCCTCCACTTTTCACCTTAAAACGACTGCAGCACGACGTGCAATATTATATTCGTATATATAAATTATGTGTGTTTTATAGCTATGATCAAAACAAATCCGGCAGTTAAATTGCTGTCAACAAATCCCCGTAGTGTTGGTCTACAAAACTTTAACTAAGAACAACGTCGAATGCTTAAACAATGGCAATGAAAGTAACTACGAATGAGTGTGTATGTTTGGAGGTTAGGGTTTTGACTTTTACTACGCTTGTTTGCTTAAAACATACATACACATATATGTATGTATATAACCAGTACATACTGAGAATGAATCATTCAATAGCTTCTATGTAAATCAACAATAATTAAATTACATGACACTAAAACTGTCCAATGACAGTCGGCGGTGTGTTTGTAGTTGTCTCTGGGTGTGTGTGGGTGTGTGTGTCTGTGTTTGTTTGGGTGAATAATACAACATTTAGACATTGCTGGCGCGCACAAACGACTCCGGTCAGTATTGTTGTGTTTGCGTCTCCCAGAGACGCGCATACAGACCGTTCTTCATCAGCAGTTCGGCGTGTGTGCCCCGTTCACCGACACGCCCATTCTCCAGCACGAAAATCTCGTCGGCATCCATGACGGTGGAGAGTCGATGTGCTATGCATATGCTGGTGCGATTGGCAGTGGCGCGTGAAAGCGCTTGCAGTATGTTCTGGAAGGAGAGTGCAATTAAAAATTGTTTGAGAGATTTAAATAACTACACGTTTACTTGCTCCGTAATCGAGTCCAGACTACTCGTTGCCTCGTCAAATATGAGAATTGGCGAGTTCTTGAGTATGGCGCGTGCAATGGCTACGCGTTGTTTCTCACCGCCCGACAGCTTGAGGCCGCGTTCGCCGACTTCTGTTTCGTATCGCTTCGGCCAGCGCATGATAGAGTCATGCAGATCCGCCATACGTGCGGCATTCTCCACATCTTCTTGTGATTTATTCAAGTTGCCGTAGTGAATGTTGTGTTGTATGGTGTCGTGGAAAAGTACCGAATCCTGAAATATTAAAAAATGGACGGATTCCGATTATTTTTGCTGTTGTAGTAACGGGTATCTAATCCCCTTTAGGATGGTATGGATTTGATAAGTTGTCAACGAGGTCATTCAACGGTTAGCTCAGGAAAAGTGCTGCTTCAACGGGGTCGGACAATAGGGAGAGGGCTGTCAGATGTGTAGGGTTAGCAGGAGATGCACAGAGGTGATTAGTGTCATTTGGGGACTCGTCGCACGCTAGACATATATTTGATATGTCAGGGTCGTTTCTGGATAAGTAGGAGTTTAACCTACTGCAGTATCCAGAAAGAAGCTGCACAAGGGTCACTCTCGATCCTTGTGATAGAAATTCCCTCTAGAGTTTCGAGTTGTAGAAGTTAAACAACAACAAGAAGAGGACACCACCTTGTGGAAACCCTGTTTAATTCTTCTCAAAATATCAATTCGCTTTTATCCCCTATTCACGCTGATATGGACAACCCAATAACTATGTGGATTAGCTCCAAGTGTTATAAACTACCGTTAGGTGAAATAATATATTATACTGGACTACATTTTGGGGAACCATAAGAACGAATATATATGTATGTAGATATTACCTGCGGCACAACAGCGATTGCGTGGCGCAAACTGTCTAAATCCACTTCACTGGTATCCTGTCCATTAATGAAAATTTTGCCCGCATTGGGTTCGAAGAAGCGAAACAGCAAACGCACCATCGACGATTTTCCCGAACCCGAACCACCAACGAAAGCAATTGTCTTGCCAGCTGGTATGGTGAAGGACAAATCCTTGAAGATCGGTTTACCCGGTTCATACTCAAAGTTGACATTTCTGAATTCGATAGATGCATTGTCATAACCAACAGCCAGAGGTGGTGCATGCGGCGCCGAAGCAATACGTGCATCGACATTCATAAGCGTAAACATTGATTGCATGTCAAGTAGAGCTTGACGCACCTCGCGATATACGCTGCCAAGAAAACCCAAGGGGATGGAAAGTTGGAATAGTAAACCGTTAACCATCACCAAATCACCAACGGTCATATTGCCTTTGGATATCTCGTTAGCGGCCAGCAACATGATTATACTCAGCGCCGAACTGAAAATGGCATTTTGACCGAAATTCAGCATGGCCAAACTGGTGCTCGTCTTCAAACTGGCCCCCTCATATTTCTTCAGCACTTCATTGTAGCGGCCGGCTTCGAACTTTTCATTATTGAAATACTTGACAGTTTCGTAGTTGATCAGTGAATCGACAGCTTTATTGCTCGCCTCATTTTCGGCTTGATTCATATAGATGCGGAACTTGGTGCGCCATTGCGTAACGGCTAACGTGAAAGCCGCATACACGCCAACACAACCCATCGAAACGCCGGCGAAGGCTAAGCCGCACTGCAACAGAGATTTCCAAAATATAACTGTGAACCAAAGTATCTACGAAGCAACTCTACTTTACCTTCGTTCCCAAGATGGAAGACACCAGCGCCAGTTCGAATATGGTGGGCACAATATTGAAAACCATGGCGCTGAGCACAAAATTTATGCCACGTGAACCGCGGTCGATGGTCTGAAATATTCACAAATACTCTTACACACACTCTAGAATAGATTAGACAACAGCACAGCCGTGCTTACCTTAGATAAGGCGCCGGTTTGTTTATTCAAATGGAATGCCAAATCCAAATTATGCAAATGTAGAAACACGTTCGAGGCAATCTTCCGAATGGAATGG